TGCAACAGAGACTCAATAGCCTGGGGAAAATTTCCTGTCCTTGCAAGGTCAATATTTGAAATGGCAAGGCTTTGGAAAACCAGGCCCTGTGAAGTATATATGCTTTATAGTATATTCCACATAAGAGGACAGTCATGCCACCACAAATCACTACCCCAGTCACCTCTGAGGAGGTTTCAGGAAAAGTCTTGATCTCCCCCACACCCCATATTCTGTATGAGAATGAAGACGGCAGTAACAATTAGACACTTTATTCCCACTTTTTGTAATCAGATGGAATAAAAAAGTAGTCTTTATAAAGTAATCAAAGAATGATTGACTTATTTTCATACACCAGTTCTTCCCCATGTTTTCTTGCCCTTTGTTCTAGTCAAATCCTCTTTAATAAGCTCAGGCTGTGTACCTTAAGTCACTCATCTGACTGGAAAGGTGCAAGGAATTCAAATTTACATCCTGTTTTTCCTCTTGTCCTTAACAAAAGTTTGCTCACCCATGATCTAGACCGAACCCTGGGAACATTTTACCAAATAAAGGACACATGAATCCTATTTAATCCACAGTTTTGGAACTCAAGACCCCTTTTACCTTATTTGTGGAACTTGACAAGCTAATTCATATGGAATTTGAAGGGATCTAGAATAGCTATACCAATCTTGAAAAATAAAAAGAAAATAGGATTTGTTACAGGGCTCAGGTCTGGCTTTCAAAAAAAATAAAACCACTCAAAAGTCAAATGTTGGTGAAAAGGAAGTCAGCTCTTATTCAGGAACACCAATGTCCTGAGGAGAGATGTTAGGCTAACCCATCTCCGGTAAACCTGAAGGAGAAGGGCCAGACTAAAGCCATCTCAAAGACTCACATTTATGGAGGGGTTCTTAAAGAGGGGGTTGAGGGAATGGAACTTGGGAAAAGAAAAGCAGGAGGGAGGGGGAAGTGCAAGGGGCCAGGTGCAAATTCTCACCAAGGCTCAATCTGGTTTCTGCTCCCATCCTTGCTGTTATCTCAGGGTCTGGGTAGTATGTATCCTGTGGCAAGTAGCTGCTTCAGGCTGGCTGGAAAACAACTTTATATTTATGTAAATAATGCCATCTTGCCTCATAACCAAGGTTCAAAATATCAAATAACCATGGGGAGGGAAAGAGGGAAATCAGAAAAATGCATGTGAAGAAAAAAACTTCTTTAAAAATTTTTAGAACCCCTGCAGTTTTAGGTCTCAACATGGCTTCAGTCCTGCTCACTCCAACAGATTCACACTTTCTGATTTAAAAACTTACTACAAAGCAATGGTAATCAAGACCGTATGGTACTGGCAATAAAGACAGACATATAGATCAGTGGAATAGAACTGAAAGTTCAGAAATGAAACCTGTGCTTATGGTCAACTTTCCACTAGGGTGCCAAGATCATACAATGGGTTAAAGAACAGTCTTTTCAACAAATGGTGCTAGGTTATCAGATATCTACCAACACAAGAATAAAGTTTGACCCTTACTTTATGCCATATACAAAAATTAACTAAGAATGTACCAAAAGTCTAAATGTAAGAGCTAAATCT